CCCTATTAGAACGTCAACACTCTGGTCTCAAGAAGTCATGAAAGGCCCTCTGTGCTGAACATCCTGAATCGTGGCCAGCCTATGTCACGAAAGCTCAGCGGAGGATCAACACCCGATCTACATATGGCTACAGTCCTCAAGAGCTATTCTACGGTTTCGATGCTCTAACGCCCTTCTCAAGACGGTTTGAAGACGTCAGCAACACTATCGACGAAGACTCTGTCCGTTTCGAGGCTCGACGTCGTGATCGGGAACGACAGAGAATGGTCAACAGCACTCTCAACGTAATGGAGAAGATGCGTGCTGATGCTCTCTCGCGTATCAATCCATCAACCTACACTCGACAAGTCGCACGACGACGTCTATTCAAGGTTGGTGACTCCGTGATGAAGTGGGTCCGTAACGTCGACCCCCTTACTCCTTCATGGAGAGGCCCTCTACTGGTTCAACAAGTACTTGGCGATTCTACTTACAAGCTTTCCGACGGCACTGTTCAAGATTCCAGAAATATACGGAAGTACTTCGGTAAAGCCCAGAATATGAATCCCATTACTATTGCATATATTCAGTAGATTTAATTCACTTTTGATATTTGTGCCAATCTTACGGGGAGGAGAGATGATAAGAGTCTATAGCCATTCAGTCTTATGGCGTGCGCTCCCTGTAGCGTAAAGCTCGCTCTCGCCCGACCGTTTCAAATATTGTCCGTTCAAACCATTGTTCGGATCCCGTGGATCTATCTGATCTGTCTGCACTCAATCTCCACTAACTATTGAATCCTTATGTCCGGTTCTGCATCGAGTTCTAGTCCTCCGGAAGCCTTCGACCAGCACTTCCTTAACACAATGCGGCTCCCTTGTCTCAGGACCCTTGGTTCACGGTAGCGATGACTCTATCGGGAGCACAACTTCTTATCGGATAGTAGTATGTCCCAGCTATCTCTAGGGGCAAACAAAGAAAAAATAAAAAAGATGATAGAGGAGGAGGGGAGAGAGAGGGAGGGAGGGAGAGGGATAGAACAGGATGCGAACGAAACAAAAAAGATGTATGAGACCGCAGTCTGCCTACCGGAGGGATGACGAAATGTTCTCTTTGTGTCGTGTAGGGATCGCGCAGGGTCGAGTCATTGTTTGTACCGCAGGTCGACACCACTTCGCGACAACAACCATCATTGCTCGGTCTTGGGAAATCGAGCTTTACGCTCGGTTTTTCACATTGCCTCGATCATCCGTACTCAAATATCACTAGACAAGGATGTGATATGTAGACGGTATCAAAGAAAACATACATTCATTCCTGTTCCTTCCGTTTGCCTCCTGCTAGCACTCGCGCTTCCTTCGGACTGGTTCGCTCACGAACTTTTTCAGTTCCGTTCTGCGGCCGAAAGAGAGCACCAAATGTCGGTACTCAGAATCGTTCGCGTCACAAACCTTGTGACAGAAGGAGCGTTCATCGCGAATTAACCATGCCTCATATGATCTCCGGCACTCAGATCATCTATGACCGGGCCTGAACACATCTATTTATGGACTCCTTAGGAGACCCTCTGTGGCCAGGGATATTCGATGAACGACACAATGGCTTCATTTAAGAGGCTCCAAAGAACTCTCTATATGAGTAAGTCAACTGCTCCTTTCTCGGGACCTCCACCACCAGTGCGTGCGCCAACAGGTTTTTTTCCAGCACAGTCTCTGGGAATTTTCCCCGATATATCTTCGCCATTTCCAACCGTTTAAGCAATGTCGGTAAGACTTCGCTGCTGCAGGAATCCAATGAGATTTCGAAATATGAGAACACTCCAACCAGTCTCTTCTTCGTCGCTACATCCGTGTACAGGTCAAAGCTGATGTGATGACAAGCACTGGAGTTGGTTACATTGGCCGGCTTCTTGCATACCCGGGCAGCATGCCATTGCTCGTGGCCTGCGAGTGATTTGCAAGATTCCGTGGTCAACTTCTGAGATCGGAGCTCTCACCTGATCTCGCGAAAGAACTACACTTTCGGAAGCCTGATAGCCATTTCTCCGCCGTAGAGCAATGGCCCGTCCTAAATTAGGACGGGACAATTAGGACTCCTAATTGTCACAAAATCTTGCACATTACATTTAATTTCATCAATGAGTTGAAGCGTATCATCTCTAGAAGAGAGAAAGAATCTCCTCAGAGTATCAACGGTTGAGCTTTAACCTCGCTTAGCGAGGTTATAGACGATACTAAAAGACTATTGAAGACTATTAAGGATCGAGACGAAGTGTACTAGCCTAGTACACTTCGTCTCGATCTCACGAGTATCCTCTAGTACTCTCACTAGGGCGTTGCTCTGTGAGTAGAACTCATACACGGTAGTATCACTGAGCCATGGATTCAACACATTCTCACCAACATATTTGATAACACTAGCAGGCGACTAGCACTAACTTAGTGCCACTAAGTACGATGGAATCTTTATCATGGAAAAGATTCTAATGCCTCCCGCGGTAGTTCAACAGAGACGACAGGATATGACGTTCACTACCCGCAATCGGTGGGCGACGTCGTGGAAGAGCATCGGGGAGTTAAGACACAGAATCAAAATCTTGATTCCGGTCGTACCTCATCTGAGAATCATCCACCACGATGATCACCATCGTAGGCTCTTCCCGTGCTGTGGCGGTGTAGTACACGGTGTGTACGAAACCAAACGCACCAGAGGAGAAGGAGACGGAGTAGGTTTGCCAATACAGATAGTACGAGTGGTAAATCAACATAACAAGGAATTGAACAGTTGATCACACTCTAAGTTATCCAACTATATTGATGATTAATAATTAATTAGCTCTATATCTGACTCTTCAGTTTGAGGTCAAGTATCGTGGTAGACTACCACTCGTAATTGGATCACACGTCTACGAGACTCTGTGATATAATACCGGTATGATCGCTAATCACTGATCCCGGCGGGATCCGGGGTCATACCGGATCAGTGATCCCTATGATGAGAGGATGAGAGGATCTTGTCCTCTCATCAGTCCGATGGGAGGACTGAGAAGGGATCTTGCGCAGTTACGCAAGAAGACAACATTGTCTCTAAACTCATACCATTCCTCCGTCATTTTACGACCGAAACAGGCTGCACGCAGGCATATCCTAATCGGTGTGATAGTTCCTTCATGGTTCTATCATTGACATGATGAGTTCCTTGTCTGACCTCCCATGTGGAGAGAGAATGGATTGGCCTCCCTACCTTGTTACGCTTTGGCCCTGACTCAATAACACACCCACCGCATTGTTCTTGAAGCGCTGATTTATGCCTTGAATATCTGAATATTTTAGATATTTTACCAGACATTGGAGTTCCTTGAAGCTTTTACATGATTAACCACATCCTACTGAGGTGAAGGTCTCGCGTTATTCGGTATGGAGGTATACTTCGTAGGAATTACTCTCAACTTCATTCAAGCAGTTGGGTGTACTTCTCTTCGTCTGTTCTCGTCACCCACCGCACTGATCTCACTAAACATACTCATAGTGGAAAACTTCGATCACAGTCAAATTTTTTCCTGTAGGACCAGCCACAGTGGTACAGCCTAGACCATCGAGCAAGTTAGAAAGCCCCCTACGCCTCACAGGAGCTACTATCACCAAGTGATGATCATTCCCTGAGGCCAATAGCTAAGATGGTCATCTGTTCGGCATCTTCACCGAGATCCCTCGATACAACATGTAGGGCATCACTCTTGGTCGACTTAGTCTTCCGTATCCCAACCACATTAGGTCTGACCACAGTGCTTCGTTATTACAGGGTACATCCCTGCCTTTTTTGTCTCTACTATGTCTACTTCTATTGCGAACTGACAACCCAAACTCGTAGATAGACCATATAGCACAGTTAAGGATGGAAGTCTACTGGGAACCAAGATGGACAACACCAATCATTGGTCCAAGAAAGATTAAGGCGGCCCACGGGCCATGCCAACAACAGGAACAAGAATAGTATTATCATCAGTCAGAATCTTGGTCGATACTTCTCCTTTAGTCGGTACTTCTTGCGAGCCTCCTTCATTTCATGTTTAAAACTGACCAAGCAGGGGAAATGATATACAAACCCGCTGAAGAGCGCAAGCGTTTCTCAAGCCCTCTTAATTTGAATACGCTGACATCGTCAAAAACACCATAGACGGCCAGTTCCGTTGATCCTACTTGTCTTCAAGATTTTCCCGAGGTTCCCAGGTCATCTCGGTATAGCCTTTCCACTTCACTAGGTATTTCCGCCTACAAACCACAGAGTAGAGCAGAGACGCCACAGCGGCTTACCCATCGAATTGAAGTACCCGGTCCACTATGTATCTGATACCAATCGGCTGTTATACCGCACAGCAGGCAACTTGACTTACCTCCGATTCCCACTGTCATCTTCATAACCATTGAGGACCACATCAGAGTCGCTAAGGACTGAGGACGACGATGACGAGCTAGAGGAAGAAGGAGAATCAGGGGTATCCTGAGATCGATCGAGAGATTACGAGGAGCATGGGGTGCGATCTCAGCTCACATCGTCAGATGAACTCTCACTGGAGAGAGGAGCCCCAGGGGGCACAATAAAGTCCGACAGGTCATCGGCAGAGTTCCTCCTAGACCCCTTCCTCTTCCTGCTGCTGCTACTAGAACCCTTATGGAGATGTCCTGAATGGGCGATGATGTTTCATAAGTTTGACGACTACGAATTTGAAATTCCGTTCCAAGACAAGCTATCATACCACGAGTTGTTCCCGAAGCATTAAAGAATGTTTCCAGCAGGTGGCCACAAGAATGCTACTGTTAGGATGCCTATAACGTGGTGCCTATGACTATTGTCCAATGTAAACGATATAGACTTGCAAGAATAGGCTAACACGTATACAAGTAGCTCACTTTTCTCAGCAAGTTTTCGTAACCCACTAGCTGGTGATGAGGATGATGGAGAGGAAGAGGAGGATGAGGGATGCCTCTGCTTCAAGGAACCACTAGAAACTGAAACGTAGGAAAAGTACGACCATTACTAAGCCAGTAACGAATTTATTCAAGTCAGTGGTAAAATCCATCACCGAGGACAGTCGTGCTCAGAATAGTATACATATGTGCGTAGACCCACAGGGCTATGCTGATGTGTATCACTGCCGAACCTCTAGAATCTCCATCACATATATATTACCCTTGTGGACATCCTCACGAGCTCCACCCTTCTTCTTCCTCGATGTTGGCTGCTCCGCCTTCTTCTTCTTCACACTACCTTCCGAGGCCACAGTGGTGGTCGTCTCGGACGGTGATGCTATCCGTTCTACCAGCAAGAGAATTGATTTCTAAACCATCGACACCCTACAGACACATTCACGATTTCACAAATTGCCAGCTTCCGCAGAATGATTTTCCTACTGATTTTTTCCTCGAGAATCACCGAATTCATAACTCACTCATGCGTCCTATTCTATTCTCAGATGTAAACTCATGACTGGTCAATGCAACTTTCACAAACTGATATCGAGACGTTTCACGAAATTCGCATTTCGAGTCGAAAGGGTATGCCAAGATCCTTAAAAAATGGCCCCTGCTACTATCAAGATTGGCTTCCTCTCTCGGCACAGGTTTCATGTCGCTCCGCACGAGATACACTTCACGTCTATGCACGGCGCTGTCCAATTGGGCCAGCAGATCATCCAGACCTGTCATCGATCCGTCACGCGCCACGAAATTAATCTTCCCTCTACATGAAAGCGCGCTGATATCCACATCGTCCTCCGTTATGCGTGTAGGCGGCGGACGTGGTCGTTGCGGTACCATCCCCTTCCTTATACAAAACAGCTACAACGAGGTCCTTTCCTATACACCCTAGACCCGTAATAGACTCCCTTAATTAGCATTATCAAAGCAACAGAGATCGACTGGGAACAGTTTATGTCAATGACGTAGAGTATCCCATGAAGGGTATCTATGCTTAACCGCAGCATATTGCCGGCAAAGTTGGAATATATAGTACCGTGTTTGGTTTCCTCACCTCAGGAGTTTTCTATACTTGAATTCAGGTAGAACTGTACAGAAATTAATACTAGTTTCCCAAAATTTCCTCAGAACTTTCATATTTTCGCCAACGCGAGTAGTTGACTATGTGCATACTCTGGATTCAACTCCTTCCTTTCTACTACCGCCTCGAGTCATTCTCCCCAGTTCGTCCCGATGACCTCGTCTGTGGAGGTAACCTCAAGTGCCGATATCGCCTCTAAAACAGACCGTGCTCCCTCCCTAGTGCACATTTTGGACTCGAGTCAGAAAAACATTATATAAATTTTTCTCTCCATAAATCAACGTACTGTAGCTATTACTCGCCATTCCACTATCGTTGCCAAATCCGTAGCTACAGTCTCATTGACTCACCTGGTCCAAGGATGAGGGGAACCCATTATGAAGTCAATGTACTGTTGTAGTTCTCCTCTCGACGTTTTTTCGAACGCCTCGCTCCGCTTAGTGATATCTCGCTCGCCCACGGGTTAGGCGTTTCCGAGACGCCGTGTCGTCACATTCTTATCATCCTCAGATGGTAACCCTCTTACTCCTGAGGTGATCCCAGGGGAGAGTGTTGCTTTTGGTATTGGAGTCGAACTCGGTGTTCTGTGTGTCGAGCTTCGATGGAAGTACGATCAGACCAAGGGGCATACAGGGCTGGTGATGATGACCAAATTGATCGCGAGTGGTGACGGTGTTGCTCTCGAAGTGGTTGTAGTGGCTTCGACGACTCCTCTGCCTTGGTTGCATAGAGAGGCTCATTATGAGCCAACTCGTGAACATCACGGGTCGACTGTGGCCACATAAGTGCATGGTGGAGCCGCTGACAATACCGACTCAACAATTCGAGGCACTATTGCTTCTCTCTTGACGAGGCCTGCATTCCTCATACAACAGTTACTATCATCTTGTGTCATTTTACTTGGTAAAGTACAGGTCTAAGTGTTTCCGTCATGGTAGATGCAATGACTAATAGGCTCTTTCATGGCATTACCAATGCCTTACACTCTTCAATGGAGCTCAATGAGCTCAGCTCATGTCTCGTCAAGGTCACATCGACTTTTGTCTTTTCTTGTCTACGATCTTTGTCCTCATCTCGATGGAGAGAGAGCATCCAGAGTATGAGGCTCGGGCTTATTTGCTCATTCTCGAAGTCCCCCTTTGGAGCTTACAGGCGGTGGGCGCCCTGGCATTGCATGGAATCTGCTTACCACTGGAGGAACACATATCGAATGTCTCCCGGACTTCAAAGCTCCGTTTGAAAGGTGTCTGTCATTTAATTGGACATTTTCGCTTCTCTACCACACTCGGAAGAACTCGCCCCGTCCTTACAGTGGAAAGTATCATTGCAGTTTGCCGATAGTAAGATCAGCTTTTGCAACATACCACTGACCGCGCGCCCCAAAACCAACCTTCAACGGATTCCCGTACGGGCGTTAGGAATCTTCTATCGACTCGGTTCGTATCCTACTCTCTGTTCACAGCTTCCAGCAGGATCTGCGGTGATCATGCCGTACCTGGACCAACCCGAGGCCTCATACCATTGATGCTGGACCAACTGCTACTGCGCCCTGATAGACCACTTAGGGATAGATGATCAGTTCTTGGAAATACTGCCGTCTGAGGACTCCCTTCACGAACACTATGGTTGACAGTGATGCTAGCACTAGCCGAGAAGCGACGAATAAGTTCATCGACCTATTGAACAGTCCGTGCCATGTCTTCCATGATCTTCGCTCCTGAGAGCAGGATTCGAATGTCCACCCAAGTGGATGCTGACCTAACTGTGCTTGCTACAGGAAGTGATCTCCTTTCTCTGGCCGCCTCGCATGCATTCGCCGGCGATGGTGGAGCTTTCTCTTTGGTCGATTCCTTACAAACTGCTTCAGTCAATCCATCGTTTCGAATACTCTTCTCGAGTACTGCTGATGGTAAAAAAGAAGACAACAAGGTTGTCCTGACCACCATCTCTGGCGTAGCCGACGGACAGGCTGCGCAACACTAGAGCACCGGGCAAGAGGGATCCTGACCGCCGCGCTCTCAGCATCCTCTTTGCGGTGGCTGATTCCATCAAAGTGGCCGATCAATGGGCTGATCATCGGTACATTAAAGATGGGCAGTTGAACACAGCTCAGCCGCCCAGTTCTGAGGCGTGTGACGTTAGCATGGAGATAAATACCCAGCTGGGTGTGTATGAGCTCCCTACGCATACCTGCTATAGTCTCTCACACTACGCCGAGCACGAGCAATCAATAGCATGGCACCAAACTGGGCAGGGCACCGGCTCCACTGACAAACTACTCGTCAAGACCCCAATCTACCTCGTTGCGAGTACGGCCAGGTCCCCCGAGCCCTGCGTCAAGTACTGCGCAATAAGACGGCCTATAACCTATAACTCGTTGGTTCGGACTTTGTGTAATCGTTTGTACTGTTTCGCGGCTTTTCACGAGTTTCGTTTCCGATCTCCTTTCCAGCCCTTCTCACGACCCAACACAGCATTGATACATCGCGACTAATGTCTCGTCCTGGTGTTGGAGGCGGCGGCCCGGCCGCGACTATCGAAAACTACATGCGTGGCTCTGACTGGAGGGGTAAGTGGCGTCAGGCCGCTGGGGTCCACCGCACCGCATCGAAACTTTCAACTTCGGCTAATCACCCTAGAGGGCCAAGCATTGGCAGTACGTCCACTGAGGGGCCCGAGTGTGGAGGCGGCGGCCCTGTTATTGTCGATTGGCGGAAGGCTGGCGCAGCGTCTGGTACCACTCCGCCCAAGAGAGCCCGACCATGGTCCGCCGAACCACAATGGCACACTACTCATGCTAAGAGCCGTCACGAACCTTGGGAGGGTGCATGGCATGAGAGTAGCGAACCACGGCAGGGCGAGCGAAACTGGGGAGGGGGTCGCTCGTGGGACTGCTGGGAAGCCGATCACACTGGTGGTACTTGGCAAGAGGGCCAACAGAAGAGTTGGGATGATGGCCAAGAAGGTGGCCCCAAGGAGCATGGTGGTGGACCCCCTTCGAATGCCGATGCCAAGGCCCACCGGGGACCATCCGTAGATCACCGAGGATCGGGCGAGCCATCCCCGAAGAAAGCCCGCAATGTGGCGTCTAAGAGTCCTGACGACCAGCCCGGCAGTTCCGCCCTCGTGAACGCCCTCCGCAAACTCTTCCACGCTAAGAACGCTGCTGTTACTGCTGCCGAGGGCCCGGTCTCGGAGAAGGAGAAGACGGCAGAAAAGCCCTTGGGCGGAGGGGTTCTGACGGCCCTCCTCGCCAAGCAAGCCACGGGTCCCCTGGCCAAGGCCGCTCTCTCGGTTCCTTCACCAGGTGGGAATTGGGCATCCCCTTGCATATGGTATTCATTCCTCTCGAGGTTCTCCATCGAATGATCAGAATGACACGGAATTACGTAAGAAAGTCCTCACGAGGCTCTTGTCGAGTGACAATGCTGGGGAGTTTCTGCAGGACCCCAAAGGTGTTTTCACAAGTCCCGTGCTATCAGGTTTATTGCTGTTTTCTTTGCAGTTGTTGAGATGCTCCTTCAAGTAGCATCCCAATTGGACGAGAGTGGCCTGTCTGATCTACAGAAGTCGGTGGTGGGCATCGTAACGAAGCTTCAATCGTCGACGTCCTCTGCTCCTCCTGGTGCTGCCCCTTCCACCACTATGTCGCCGGGTCAGTTGGCTAAACGCGATGATTGTGTTGACCGCCTCAAGGCAATCCTTGAAGGGTTGCGAGGCCTTTTCCTCAAACGCCAAGAAGAGCGTATCACTAAAGCAAACGCATCCACTAAGCCCGCGGGCGGGGCGTCGGGCGCATCTAGCCACAGTGCTTTGGCCAGTCTTCTCTCGGGGGTTTCCGCCCAAAACCAACCAATATACGATCATAAGGTTTGGACGGGGCATGTCCAACGATCGGGGGTCAACAAGGCAAAGGTCAACATCTACACAACTCTGCCAGTCAACTCGCTAATCACGGATTTGGTCACACAACTCGGCAGCGACCTCAACTTGAGACTTCGAGTCCCCGATACTGAGGTACGCCGGAGTGACTCTCGTCCAACTTCATTTTCAACGCATATCGTAGTCAGTATTGGTGAAGGCTCCTATTGGGACGCTTTTGGAATGTCGAGTGAGGACCGTTTCCGGGGGAATTGTGAAAACAAATGAACATGAATTTCCACTCTTTGCTGAGTAACTCGCGCCGATGAACATTTATGGATAGGTTTTGCATCAGCGGCAAAATCATGCAGAAAGCTCAGCTTTGTTGCTTATGAAGGCGGACTCCGCAGCCGGTAGGCAACAGTACACGCAAGCGATCAACATGAAGTAGCCCTTCCTCAGATCAAGCTGAGTTGAACGCCCAAATCGCTTACTTCAATGGGAGGAAACGATCAGGCGTAGCTAAGTTCGAACGTGACAGTGGGCATTATGCTGCGTTCATGATACCGCCCGGATCACTTGCTGAGAAGTAGCCCGCAGGTCACGAAGTTGGCAGAGGGTCACAATGTGTGTTTAGGTTGATTGGTACTGATGACTACAAGAGGTGCAATCCAGACGATATGGCAACAGTTTGTATGATAACTAAAACTGGTACCAACGCCTCCGCAGCCATCCCCCATTGAAGCTGATGAGTAGTTTTCAATTGCAACATTCCCCTTATATATTTGCCATTAGTAATCTGCCATTCGATAAAAATAATTTGTGTTATTGTCAAAGTGGTCCATGATCTCCAAATGCTTAGTAAGAAGGGATAATAACAAGACACATCAAACCCATCACTGTGATAGTAACGTTTATCCAGGATATCGTTGCCATGTGTGAAGATCCTCCGAATTCTGCTCGTAGCTCCTCCGACGCCTGAGAGTTGATACAATGAATATACTTCCTCTGCCACACAGGACATGTGTGGAGTGACCGGATGGCCGAGACGTGGACGTGCTATCCATTGCTGCGGTTTGACACGTAACATAGGCGATAACTCGGGGCGAATTTCTCCCTGAGAACCTCATCTCTTGCCCTTTTTCAATATATGCGTCTTTCATAGCAACGAAACGCTGTTATGATACGGGGGCGAGCGCGGCGACGAATTGTGGCACACCACAGAGTTTGGGAGTACTAATAAGAAGCAACAAGAATCTTCAGCCGAGTTGAGAGACAGACTACTAGTCAGTCTTGAGAGACTGAGTAGTCAGTCTCTCATTCATTAAGGATGTGAACATAGTCGTCAGTTGTGTCCTTGACAAGGACACAGCTGGACAACTGTGAACAAGGAATCCTTGCTCACCATTGAGATTCAATTATCTTTCCTTCCGGGCCTTGGATAGTGGGTCGGATGAACTCACTAGCCGATAGTGCAATATAACCCCTAATCTAGGAATCCGAACTGCCCGACCCATGCGCCAGAGGCCTCGGCCCGGGGCGCACCGCTGCGGCAGACGGATGGAGGAAGAAAAACTCGAGGCTATGCTATCTGCGCTGAACAACGCCACTCGTACCACTGGCATATGCCGACGGACCCCCGAGCAGATTTCGTGGACACTACTCTTGTTAGAGAGACTTCGCCTCCACCCGGCTATAGAGGTGCTTCGGTGTACACGATTCATGCACGGACACGCAGTTGTGTGATTGACCCACGCTTGCTTGTCACGGATTTGACAGCCGGCCTCGAGCGCTGGTAACAAGTTACATACTGTCAGAGGTAGCCGGATCGCTTGGACATATTCGACCAGTACAGAGCTTCTCCTTCGAGCACTTTTTTGGATAGCTAACACTTATTATGAAAGGAGTATAGATTAACAATATGTTCATATTAGTAATATCATATATTATAACTAGTACTATTGCATTGGACATATGATTATTAATGTATTATATTATAATGTTATTAATATGAGTGCAAGCTCACTGGAAGGTGTACACTTATTAACTCAAAGCAATTACGAAGCTCTCCTCTGTGACTGATCAATTAGCTAAAGCGTGGTCATCACTTTGTCAACAACCTTCTATATCATAAGTAATCAACCCAAACAAAGGCGAAGAAACCACAAAACCTTCAGCGATGAAACAGCGAGGTGAATCCACGCGAAAATACCAATCCGATTCGAACATACTATCCAAGTCGACTTGTATTCCGTTGCCTCGGCCGCCAGATATTTGGTGTTACGGTACTCAACATCAGCAGGAAACCTCTGAAACTCAATCCCTTGATCTCGGCATTCGTAGAGTAGTATTTTAGTAAAAGTGATGATGGAGATAGTAACAAAGGCACGGGTGTCTAATGGTTCCTTACAATGATCATTTAACAGCCACACGACCAACGGTGATGATAATAATGATAATGAATCCACGGAAACGAGATACACAGAGTCTTCGTTGTGATCACACCAACTACACAACTAGAAAATACCCACAACGTCAACAACGATATTTAATTCTTCTTTTCATCCTCGGTATTTTCAGTCTTCTGTTCCTCTTGCTGTTGGTCGTTTGAGCCCTGCTGATACGCCTGTGAAGAAACCTGCCAAAAGCACAATGTGAACCAACACCTATGGGAACTCCTAGTACAGCGTACCTTCCAAGAAGCATCTTGCAACTCCTTGGTCTTGTTCTTGATCTCATCAACATCATCCGTGGTCAGAGTTGACCTCACAGCGGCAATCTTTTGCTTCAAGTCCTCGGCATCAGCATCGCTCATCTTGTCCTTGAGCTCACTGAGTTGCCTCTCCACAGAGTAGACGAGAGTCTCGGCGTCATTTTTAGCACCAACGGCCTGCTTGCGCTTCTCATCTTGCTCCTTCATGCTCTCAGCCTCGTTCACCTGACCATAACACGTGTCCATCCGAGCCGACACCCAACACGGCGCCTACCATCTTATTGATATCAGCATCAGAGAGACCACCCGAGGACTGAATAGTGATGTTCTGTTTCTTGCCGGTGGACTTGTCCATAGCGGAAACGTTGACGATACCATTAGCATCAATATCGAAAGTAACTTCGATTTGAGGTACCTAGCAAAATCTTTTTCAATCATCTAAGCTGATACAAGATGACTCACCCCACGAGGAGCCGGGGGGATTCCCACCAAATCGAACTGACCGAGGAGCTTATTGTCAGCAGCCATCTCACGCTCGCCCTGGAAAACCTTAATACCCACCTAAAATCAACAAAACGATGACGCCTGTACATAACGATTCGCAGTAGCGTTAGGCTCACCTGAGTCTGATTGTCAGTAGCGGTAGAGAAGACCTGCGACTTTTTGGCGGGAATCGTCGTGTTACGATTGATCAAACGAGTGAAGACACCTCCGAGAGTCTCAATACCTACACAACCCTTTCAGCTGACTGCCAAGTTCACAGGCCTCAACTCACCCAGTGACAAAGGAGTGACATCGAGCAAAAGGATGTCCTTCACATCTCCCTTGAGGACACCAGCTTGAATAGCAGCACCCATAGCCACAGCTTCATCCGGGTTCACACCCTTATGGGGCTCCTTACCATACAGCTTCTTCACAACCTACAACAAATCACAATTATATAGAGCACAAACATCAACTGTGTGTTACCTCCGAGACGGCAGGCATACGAGTCATGCCACCAACAAGGATGACTTCACTCAGCTCATCCTTCTTGAGACCAGCATCTCGAAGACAAGCCTCACAGGGGGCCTTGGTCTTGCTCAGGAGGTCAGCAGTGAGCCCCTCCAACTGAGCACGGCTCAATGTCATCTGCAGATGCTTAGGACCCGAGGCATCAGCAGTGATGAAGGGCAAGTTGATCTCAGTCTGGACCTTGCTGGAAAGCTCAATCTTGGCAGTCTCAGCGGCCTCCTTCAGCCTCTGCAATGCCATACGGTCTTGTGCGAGATCGATGCCTTGTTGCTTCTTGAACTCATCGATTAAGTGCTTGAGAATGACCCTATCGAAATCCTCACCACCGAGAGAAGTGTCACCGTTAGTGGCCTTGACCTCAAACACACCGCCAGAGATCTCCAAAATGGATATATCAAAGGTGCCTGATTATCATGGCATCAAATCTGCTCGTCTGATCAAGCCTCATCCTACCTCCGCCGAGATCATATACGGCAATAGTCTGACCCTCATTCTTATCACAGCCGTAAGCTAAAGCAGCAGCAGTGGGCTCGTTGATGATACGAAGAACCTACGCACAATAACACTACTGAGTAACAATACGATCATCAGAGAAAAGCCTACATCAAGACCAGCGATCTTGCCAGCATCCTTAGTAGCCTGTCTCTGTGCATCGTTGAAATAGGCAGGGACAGTAATAACGGCTTGCTTCACTTCACGTCCGAGGAATGAATCCGCGGTCTCCTTCATCTTCATCAGAACGAAGGCACCGATTTGAGAAGGAGAATACCTGAGCGAAACGAAGCATCCCCGAGAGATTACATCCCTCATTTTTAATGTCCTCCTCACTTCTGATTGTTGGCTTCAACCCAAGCATCACCAGTCTTGTCACAGACGATCTTGTAGGGCATTTGCTGCTTATCTTTTTGAGTCTCGGGGTCATTGTATCTACAAAACCCCATACCACACCTCAGCCCATTCCCAACACTCACCGTCGGCCGATAAGACGCTTAGTAGCGAAAAGAGTGTTCTCAGGATTGGTCACAGCCTGACGTTTAGCTGGCATTCCAACTAGCCTCTCACCCGTCTTCGTAAAGGCCACTACGGATGGTGTCGTGCGCATACCTGATCACAACGACAACACATGATGATCTACACCCATAAACAGCAAAGCCTCACCCTCAGAGTTCTCAATGACACGAGCCTGAGAACCTTCCATAACAGCTACACAAGAATTGGTGGTTCCCAGATCGATGCCCACGATATCTCCCGTGGTCTTAGCGAATCGGATGGCACTGGTTGACAGGAGCCTCATAGCCGAGGGGCGGGCCAAGGCGATGCTGGGTGTTGCGAGCTTAGACAGCATACTAGTACTATTAACAGTTGATGATCTTAGTGAATCTTTGCTCAATGCTACAGTTGCACGAAAATTGCAAGAAACACAACAGTTTTAGCTGCGCCCAGATAATCGGCAAAAAACAACAATTGTTAATATCAAACAGTAGGGGGGAACTGCTCGTGCCAGGGCATCTCAGCTTTCAGTGGGGATGCACTCGAACTGTTGCCATAACTCACTCCATCTGGGCCGGCCTGAAAAAACAATGACGAGTTGTGTATGTAACATGCGTCGTCGTTTTTCAGTGTATGTATGTTCGCTTTCCTCAGCTGAGCTCAGGAGTTCCCTCACGAATTCGGGTAGAAGTGTTTAGAGACCACTGATAATTTCATCAAACTGTCACCGACATACATAATTGACCACGCGCATATTTCCCCTTAACACTGTCGTTCTTACTTCGACCGCGATGTCGGGATAGTTTCTATTGATGAGGTGAATCAAAGCCTCATAAAACCATCTACTGCCAAGGGGGCTAAAGTGGAGACCATCTCTCAAGAAGGATCGCCAAGCCGCGTCCTTCTGCATTTCATCAAAGATGTTCAAAACCGGTATCTGAATGCAATACAACAACAACAATTAAGAACCCCAAAGGACTTCTACAACTGCCTTACTTGCTTTGCCGCACCCACTTCGAGGACCGCTCTCGCGTACTCTCCTGTGGATTGAAGCCTACGATTGGGCAGGTCTGGAGCTGATGCACCGAATCGGGCCTTTCCATCAGCGACCATTGCCTCCCCATCAATGGGAGGGGGTGTAACCAAAACGAGACGTGAAGTGAACTGAAATGAGCAACGAGTGAGATTACTAATCTAACTCGTGTAGTATGCTGACGCTATCTATATTATAATCAATCTGTAATAGCCTATCGTACAGTAGAATCTTCTCTGTGCGTTATTCTATTATCTTTCCTTGAAGTTTCACACGCAGTATGGAAAAACACTAGTGGATAAGTATACGACTTCACGACTATTGCATAGCGCGAATGTCGCGTTTTTCACAGAGTATTACGCCACTTCGCGTAAAACGGGTTGTGAAACTCCATTGTATCAATCGCTCGCCATTGGGTACTTGTAACCGTCCCGAAGCATGTCCACATGTCACATATACGAAAGCTCACCGGTTTCGCCAAGTTCACTATCTTCTCTAAAGCCTTACTGAACTCATCCAACGGGACGTGCTTGCTCTCAGACCTGCCAAAGTGACCCTCATCAAGAGTCAGCTTCACTCAACCTACCCTGAGGAGTTGACCATTCCCGGCAGCTGAGAGTCATTAGCACCGAGGAAGATGACAACCAACAGCAGAGGACCTCCAGCCAAGTGCGGTGACCCATCCTTGAAAATATGGCGCGCTACTTCGAGAGTCATCGGCGTGTTGTAACCAGAGTATCTATGGCGCACTTTCTGATGGAAAAACCGTAAAATCACTGAACCCACCCTCTATTGATGATATCAGCCCTCCTTTGATATCTGTCGGACAATAGTCCACCCCAAGCGTCCAGACCCGAGAAGCTCTGTTGGGTAATGGAGTCGCCCAGGAGGAGGATTCGACCTCGACAAGTATTGTAATCAGGCATTACTTCTCAACTTGTTAGATATCTCGTATCTCCCACCACTGTTGTTGCGAACTCAAACCAGCAGGACTTCGGAAAACACACACGAAAACATGCGCTCATTCGTATCATCACTGATACAAAGCTTAGATACCCAAACTGCTAGAAGTGAGAGCTTCAAAGGGAAGCCGTTCTATAAAGTGGAAGTCTGTGAATCTTTAGTGTGCTCTTGCATTATAGGATGCGAAGGAGGTCACAGTCGAGCTCGAGCTGTTGGTGATGATGGTTTCAAAGGACCGCTCCATAGAAAGAGAAATCACGCGCCATAAAAATAAGCGCGCGCCTAAAGTGTTATATCAAATGTGTTTCGTACTTCCTTGACTTTTGTACTTCTTCCTTGACTTTTGTACTTCTTCCTTGACTTTTATACATCTTCCTTGGCTTTTATACTTCTTCCTTGACTTTTATACATCTTCCTTGACTTTTGTACATCTTCCTAGACTTTTGTACTTCTTCCTTGACTTTTGTACTTCTTCCTTGACTTTTGTACTTCTTCCTTGACTTTTGTACTTCTTCCTTGACTTCTGTACTTCTTCCTTGACTTTTATACATCTTCCTTGACTTTTCTACATCGTCCTTGACTTTTGTACTTCTTCCTTGACTTTTGTACTTCTTCCTTGACTTTTGTACTTCTTCCTTGACTTTTGTACTTCTTCCTTGACTTTTGTACTTCTTCCTTGACTTTTGTACTTCTTCCTTGACTTCTGTACTTCTTCCTTGACTTTTATACATCTTCCTTGACTTTTGTACTTCTTCCTTGACTTTTGTAGAAAGAGACTTTAGTTCGTCTTGACATTAGTTAATCCAAAGTAATGATTCCCGAGCCCTACGCCACCTTCACTCACCCAGTCATCTCAGCTGGCGTTGCTGTACTAGTCCTCTACGGAGCGAAGAAGGGCCTTGAGTGAGAACCGATACACTTACTCTTCGGCTGTCATGAATATGCCTATCATTAGTTCCCGAGCGAGCTCGACGAGCACACCGTCAGAGCTGAGAGAATCGCGAAGAAGGCACAGGAAAGTTATGTACACCGTGACTGCTCTCTCGTTTGGTACAGCAGCACTTGGAACTACGATGATGGCAGCTCTGCAGAATGATGACGATCGAGATGATGTCAAGGTAAGCTTCTGCGATATCACATGTATCCATGCAAACTTTCCATGATTTTTTTTTCAAAAGAAAACTCTTCGTGAAAAGCCTATTGAAAAGAAAACCTCATGAAAACTTTCACTGAAAAGCGTTCTTGGTCGGTCGCCTCTGTGGTGCCGTCTGGGACGTTCCCATTCCACAGATTCTCCAATCACCACATGCCCGCTTAGCTGGTCTCTTCCTCTCGGCCATGAGTCTCAACTTTGCTCTTTCTCAAGGACTATTCGGAAAGTTCGATAAGTAAGTCCACTAGCAACCACAGTGGATCGCATTTCAGTATGTTCAGGTCGAAGCGTAATCTCCATATGTACATCGGATACGCTATAGCCTTTGGAGCACTCGCCCAGTGGATGTCGGGCATACGCCTCCTCTTGGCATGAAATGTCCGTATATTTTCCCTAATGACGATTTCTGACCCGTCACTCGTTGTGTTAGCAGTACGACTATGAGGGTTGATTGCATAAAAAAAACAGCAAAGTTTGCTGTTGTTACTATTTGTGTTATTATTATTATTGTCCATGATACTCTTTAATGATTGTTATTATTTGTGTTCTTCCATCATGTTATCATGCTTCTAACATGGATCATGTTGCTCATGTTGCTCAGCAAACACGATGAAAGAATAACACATCATGAAAAGTCTCACTCGTCCATCATTCTGGTCGTGGTATATCTCCTACAAACTCTTAGCGACTATTTTCCTCTCCAGTGAAAGTGACATAATTATCACACGTAAGTGCTTCCATGTGAGGTCGTCCTCATCCCGGATGTCCATGTCTACTAATAGTAGACTACTATAACCACTGTCTCTTATCAGACCTGTGAATATTTTCGAATGTAACCTTAATCATCATTTCAGTACATCATTGGAGTTTCACAACCTGTTTTACGCGAAGTGGCGTAATACTCTGTGAAAAACGCGATATTCGCGATATGCAGTAGTCGTAAGGTATATTTTTCACTAGTGTTTTCCATATCACGGGTAGAACACTTTTTTGAAAATCATCATTGCTCTCGAGTTCATATCGGTGTGCTGTTTTCGACATGCGTTAGAGAATCACCAAGGCAGCCAGATGATAAGGCCGACTGTGCTATTCTCATCTTCGTATGTTGCTCTGCTATCTCTTTAGCGTTACTTGCACGTCGTATTAATCGTTGCTGTATTTCAGTGTTGAAATATATGTTCACTTTCCTCAGCTGAGCCCAGGAGTTTCCTCACTAATCATAGGAGTTGATATATGAACTGGGTTAGAAGTATACAGAAACCAGCAGGAATTTCGCAGAATTTCCTCAGAATATTCATATTTTCACCAACACATGTGGTTGACCATGTGCAAATTTAACCACGGTGCTGTATCACTGGAATTGCTACGTTAGTTTATCACCTAGTACACTACGCGGTGATCATTGGGTGTTTCTTCACTTAATGAAACCTGCATGTCGTCCACTACGGCCAACCCCACTAAAAACACAACAAAATATCCTCAAAATATAAACGATCATAACAAGTGGTCATATCAGATAGAAAGACAATAGTGTATCAGAGACCATGGGAGTACCGTCACCACCTCTATTCAGCGGGGGCAACTCCGGCCACTCACACTACGAATTAAGCCCAACCTCTCAAACTGAGAATCGTCTCAGAAGGGGCTCTCGGATGTCCCATTCGACTGAAGAGTCCGAGAAATTATCAATAGGCGTCTTCTCATCCAAACCATCTTCAGCACGTGGAGGCGCCACAGAGCTCAGTGTGACGCCCAGCAGAATCACTACCATACCAAGCATTTGGGAAGGACAAGGCAGTAGACCATCAATTGCAAAGTTGAGCCCGAGGACCACTATAGAGTTGGCCGAGACCACTACATTCACCAGACTGGTACAGGGATATGATAGAGCCAAATTGAGAGCGAAGAAACCAGCAACCTGAAAAGGATGATATCAAAAATGATCCTTTTCGGAAAATTTCCCCGTAGAAAAAAGCACCAAAAATTATTTTCTTTCCAATTTTTGCCATCATCTCAGCTACAACAGACGAGTTGACAAGCGCATAGAAGTTCTGTGAACATCCCATGTTCAGCCCAATTCACTACGACCAGTCTAAAAACTTGTTGCATAACAACAACAACTCCCCGCGCAATACCTGCGTTACGCCAGCTAGTACTGCCAATGCCACTACTATATTGGGCAACACCAATGACGGTAAGTCTTGACCTTCATCACTCTTCACAAAAGCATACCCCACAAGAAACGCCATACCCGTTTGGGAGACCAATCTGGCTGAGAAGGCGCTCCAAGTAGACACCTTGCCTGAATAACACCAAAATGGCTCCAGGAAAGTTATTGTTCCTATGCACGGCTAGGGAGAAGTCATAAACTCGCTCGCCTTCATGTCAACAACGGTGACGGAATATATGTTCGTTCTTCTCAGCTGAGCTAAGAAGTTTCTCCACTTATTCTAGTAGTTTACATACAAATTGCCAAATTTGCTTAGATTTTCATTTTGTCACCGATAGATAGATACCGTTATCTCTAAGATAGCTTATCACATCATCAACAGCCTTTATCAGTTTCAGCCCCCAGAACTCGGAAGCTTGGCGAGAAATATTGATTTTTTCAATTTGGGAAACGAAAAAATACCCTCCTCAGAACAAAGAAACTCTTCCCAAAACATTCCCAGAAATTTTTAATAATTCTGAGATTCATTCAAGATGACACCACCATCGTTTCACTCAGAAGCCACCCTTATTCTTGTGAACCGTAACGTGATGAGGATAGTTCAAGCCTACCTATGGCACTGTATCGAATCAACAACGTAGTGGCCGCAAACGCCAACATGGAGAGGATCTGATCGTCAGAAACATCAGCTGGTCGTCACAAATGACTCAGGAGTTCCTCCGTCACGGAACTTATCCATACCGCTCCTCCCTCAACAGACAAATCTTTACTTATAAAGGCACTATAGACTGCTCTTACCGCGAAGATGAATCCTAAAGTCTCATGATACTGCTGACCACTCGCTGCCACTTCGTCCTCTGTCTTGGTAGATCCTCCCGGCCCCAGTGCCGATATCAAAACACCACACACTACCTATACGGTAGATGCAGGTTATTGAAGGTTCACCCGAGATATGAGTAATACTAGTAAAAAACATATTTCACGATTTACTTCGCAGAATACAATTATGTTTTCAGCCGCCGAAACGTACACGTCCTATAATTTGCATGGAGAATTACATCACTTCACGTTGAACGGGTGAAACTCCATTGGTATACTGATCCACCTACAACCCCTATCAGCACCGCGTGGCGTCTACTGAGGAGCTCCCTGAATATGAAGTGGCCGTACACGCTGACCACTATAGTTGTCGAACATAGGACGGCACTCACTGGGCCTAAGGATGAACATGCCCAAGGTCAGTGTTGGAGGAATAAATATTCGCTTTTCTCAGCTACACTTATCAATACAAGTTTACATACGAACCCGAGTAGAAGTGTGCAGAAACAAATGATCATTTCCGCAGAATTTCCGCAAAATGTCACCTACACATGTAGTTCCCTATGTGAAAATTTTTCCACCGAGACGGAGGTGCATTACCCTTATCAGCAGGCGAGGTGAATACAAATGCTTTCTTCATCAGGCTCATAGACACTCCCAAGCCGAGACCTCCAATAAGCGTCAATGCCTTGGTCTTGTACGTGATGGAGGAGGTGTTCGAAGGGGTGTCACTCCAGAAGAACTCAATTCTGCCACAACGCACCCAATGGATGCCATAACATAACATACCTGAGGAGAAACACCAACACATCATCCGCTGAAACAGTGATAGTGAAATTGACGAGAAAACCTGAATTTCGTCCAACAATATCACATATTGTGAATACGTGATTGGAACATGAGCTAAAGCAGTCACTGTAGTTGGCCTTTTTTGCCCCTTGCATAGTTAGATGATACTAGAAGGTAATGGTACATCATCATGGATCGCTGTCCCCACCCCCCGTAGCACACAATGGAGTTCCACCCTAGTAATAGGAACAGCACTAGTGAAAAATATATGTCGCGACTACTGCATATCACCGCGAATATCGCATTTTTCACAGAGCATTACGACGCCACTTCACGTAAAACGGGTTATGAAACTCCGGTGTGTCTCTCTCAGGTGAAGGAAGCCTTTTGCCAAGACTGAGGTAAAGACAGTCTAAGTCGATTGAGTACGACCAACCACTCTCCCTGCTATTATACTCAGTGGGATGTTATCTCAATGGACGAATAAACTAACAACATCAAAAGTGTTTCCAATACATATCCTTCATAAACTTCCTTTTGAACTCCTACCTGGAATGCCCCCTACTCCCCAAATGATGGCCAGCATCTTCCACTCAGCACCAATAGCATAATACGCCTCCACAGAATCGTCAAGGATGCCAGTAGCAACTCTGAGATAGCGACAAGTAAGACAGATAGCGCAAGCACGATCAAGCCAGTACGCGATGAGATAATTGGTGACGCCGAAGCAGAACATGGCGATGAACGAGTACGCGACACATCGCCCTGTGTTAGCGATGACGACCTTCCCTCGGGAAACTTCTTGGGTGGCGGCGGCGGCGGCCATATTGAAGAACTGATCAGGAGAGCAGTTTGATGAATCATAGTTGGAATTTGGCAAGTTGAATCTTGATATTAATCACTAACATCCCCATCGAGTTTTGACTACTTACACAAGGCGTTCAATGAGCAGCATAGAAGATTGCTAGCAGAATATGCTTTCACACATATCATGATCTCAACACCAACTCGGGAACACCTTTGAATGACTGGGCCGTGGTTGTCAAACACACGGATAGTAGCGGCTCTGTGGCACATACGATGACCAATGCACTATCCTGGTGGTATACGGAATCATCGTTTAAATTCCCTTTGGCAAATTCTCCTGGTTTTTTTTAATTCTCGAATGCGTTCTCAAAATTCATAGTCGAATCCGCCACAAAGAGTCGTCTTTTCGTGAAGGCGGAAGTATACGCCTGGAAAAGATAGGGTAGACTCACCTGCACCATTGACTACGAATATGATCTCCATTGGAGCAGGGTATGAGAAAACTATGAGAAAACCGGCGAGGGAGGGGATAGCCTAGCCTAGGGTGACGGTACCGATCCAAGCAAGCATGGTAGGGTTCAAGCAAAAGTCTTCGGCTAAGACAACGTAGATTTTGAACCATCTTAACCATAATGATATCAACGCATTCGCAGCCAGAACTTCCTCATTGTATGCTGTGTACTCTCCCGAAAAAGCCATGGCCGACATGTGAAACCGGCCGCGCGCGGGGGTAAGGAACTTTTTTGGGGGCGAGCGATGTGCACAACGGCGGCGATCACTGACCACAGGTGTAGGTAAATTCCCAGTTAGTGTAGGTAAACGTTGCGCGTAGTGACTGGGATCACTTTTAACTTTCCCTGAAATCCTAGAACGAACCGTACGACAAGCACGTTCCTTAATCTTCACAATGTTCCCAACTGGGTTCCGTTGACCCGAATGATCAACGACTCTATTCGAACTCTTGCCACTACGAGTCAATACCATCGTGACTAGTAAACACAATGCCTAACTCGTATACAATACCGTAAACTAATCCCTGACTAAGATACCGTTCAGACGAAGCTTAGCCACTAGCGAATGATATACCTCAAATCACAGTAAATCACTCTGAGCCTGGGCTCAGGTCCAACGTAAGCAAACGAACGTCGTTGCGAACGCCTAACCCTAGGGTTCACGCACCCTTGGGAACAGCACGCATGCACAAATCTGTGACGCGAATCATCGAGGCTAGCACAATAGACAGCAGACAGTAAATACCGTAATAAAAGTACAGTAAATACCGTAAAACAAGGCGACCAATCAACCATAAGAGTTAACAGGTCTCCGTGCCTTGCGCTGACGCGCACATTGCCCGCGTGAAATTACCCAATTTCAACTATTGGCGACTTCAATCCAACTCGGAAAAATATACCATATACATACCTTTGGCAACAGTTAAGTACAGACAATATCATATTGACATTACGTATCAACCGTATTGCCGAAATAGAAATAATCAAATACCTTACAATCATCATCTTTATTCATCACTACTGCTACTTGAAGAACTAGAAGAGCTTGAAGAACCTTCATCTTTAGACCCTTTAGACTTCTTCTTCTTCGACTTTTTCTTCTTACCCTTCTCTGAAGACTTTACTTCAACCGAACTTCCTTCATAAGTGGACTTCATGACATCACTCAAAAATACACTCTTAGAACAGCTGGAACCACCTTGCGCTTCTTTATCATTAGTAACAATAGCCGAAGATTCCCATACAGGTTGGGGAAGACCCTTACTCTCGGACTGAGGAGTCTCATACCAGTTACCCTTGTACTTAGAAGCCGAACCGGTAGTATTATACCATCCTCCACTCCACTTAGAGGAAGAACCATACCAGTTTTTGTCCCACTTAGAGGAAGAACCATCATTACCAGTCACCTCCACCTGGGGGGTTGTAACCTTAGCATCATTACTAGTAATAGTAGCGACAGTAGCTTCATCAACCACCCTAGTAGGTTCTTTAGTAGCAGAATCAACATAACCATTCTTAGGATCTCTAGCGATTTGCTGAAGCGTCTCATCATGGTCACCCTTAGTCTCCCACGGAATAGCCATAGCTGAACCATCCATAGGATAGGCCTCTTCTTCTCCATCACGAACACGGCAGAACCTTGTCTCAGCAACTGTGAGAGCCCTATAGAAACACTTATCATCAGGACCTTCCGTCTCAATATAGAACATCTCAGACTCATACCTTTTCCAAGCTTGCTGAGCAATAGTATCAAAAGTATGACCTTCCAAGCGGTTCACCATACAATAGCTCTTAACCGACTTGAAATATATGTGTAAAGTCCTATAAAAGAGAACCTTATACATAGTCAATATCCTCAAGGCCGTAAAATACAATGAGTGGGTAACCATACGATAACACCTTTCCTCCGCCAGTGCCGAATCCTCAGCAGGAATCTTAAGGGGGAGGAGGATAGGATAATTCTCAGTATTCTCCCACTGAGACGTAACGTCCAACATCATCTTGGCGCAAATAAACCGTAACAGAGAACCCACGGTAAGAATGGAACAGGGATGCCATATTCCAGCCTTTTCGAGTACCTCAACCGTTAGTTCTTGACCAGGCTTAGCATCCAAAAAGACTGTCTCTCCAGTAACTATAAAAAGCCTTAACTCTGGGGAGAGAGACGTCCATACTTCAGGGACGAAAGTACTTCCCTTAACGAGAGTCAGATGCATAACCTCTTGCTCGAACTGGTTGAACATACCTCGCCTTATCAAAGGTGTAACGGCGAAAGACAGACCGCCACTAGTAAGCCGAGGACCTTTAACCTTAGAGTCATTGTAACAACCCTGCTTAACTTCACGGGAGTACTCGTAGCGA